GTGCTGGAACTTCTCGAAGTAGTGAAGTCGTATGATGTTTCGCTCGCGGAGGTGGAAGAATGGGTCAATGACCTGAGGATATGGTATGAGCGAGCCAATTTGGGAGAAGAAAAGGATCCCAAAAAAGGGAAAAAGAGGTCCCTAGAAGGGGAGTCCAGCAAAGATATTCCTGCCGAAAAAGAAGTGGTTGAGACTTCGGAGACGGAGGTTGCCGTTGAGGAGGAGAAGAAAAAGGTAAAAAAGAAGAGGAAAGCTGCAGCTATCGAAGATCCTTACACTCTCATGGTTCCAAAGCCGAAGAAGATGCCGACGATCATTGAGAAGGGTGGATCAACATCCAATGTGGTGGCTTCTGCAGTGGAAAAATCCTCGAAGACGCGCACAAAGTCAAATGTCGGTGGAAAGACAAAGAAGAAGGAGAAAAGTCAGAGTCCCAAAAAAGAAGAGGTGGTAATGGTGCAAGATCCTGAGGAAAAGGATCGTCCATCCGATGCGGAGGCACCAGGGTCTGCCAATGCGAATGAAGAGCTGGGTCAATCTTGCCAGGCGATTGAGGACGCAAAGAGAGAAGGATTGGTATCCTCAATTCAAAGGGGCATACAGGATCCTATTCTTACGATTTCGGACCTGGAGTATATTCTGCTGCAACTTCACCTCAAGATTGCCAACAATCGGAAAAAGAAGTGATTGGATGGTATGGATGAAGGGATGGTTTTTCTCTTTCTGGAGACCGGTGCGCTGGAACAGCCAATGTGCTGACAATGTGGTGGTTACTATTAAGGGTATGGAAATCCCTGATAGTAGGAGTCAGTAGCTTTTCGCGTAGCGAAGACCACGGTTTGTGGTGAAGAAGGCCAAGGAGTCTTCAGTGATGAGAGGATCAAGGTGAAAAAAGATTCTCTATGGGTAGTAGGTTAGCCAATGTGCTATAATTCCGTCCTGGAAGACGTTAAACCACAATTTGCATTTCAAGCAGCTGGCTGCTGCCGTAATGGCAGTTTTTGGCCAAAAGATCTGCATCTCCAATGTGTCCTAGGAAATCCTAGGACAGGGGGAGTGCGGAGCTGCAATTGGTATTGTAGAAAGGAGTTAGTGTTGGAAGTTGGAAGGGTTAATGAACCCGGTAATCGTATTTGGCTCAAGATGGGCTTGAACAGAAAGCCACAAGTTCAAAAAGTAGTGCCTGGGTTCTTAGGGTTTGGTAAGGGTGTGGATTCCTTCCCCCTTTCCTTCCCCCCTGGGTTGCTCTTATCCGTGTTCTTGGTTGTTTCTTGGTTCGATCTGGGAAATATAAGTTCAGGGCGATTAGGGGAGTTGATTTCCTTCCTTGGTTGTCCCCCCGTACCCTAAACCCTAAACCCTAAACCCTAAGCCTAAGCTGCAGCGCCTAAATGGTGTAGGACTGAGCACTGGCGGCACCGGGGCCCGAACCGCTGGGGGCCCCTGCGATTCTGGGGGGGGTGTACGGGTTTAGGGTTTATGGCTTAGGGTTTAGGGTTGCTTTAGGGCGTTAGGATTGTTTAGGGTTTGGGGTTGTTTTAGGGCGTTAGGATTGTTTAAGGTTCTGGAGTTTAGGGTTCGATGGTGATTTTGGCGTACTGCGGTTTCATGCAGGGTTTTTGGGTTTGTGGTTCCGGGGATTTTAGGGTTTTAGTGTCGTGGGGTTGTTTTCGGGATTCTAGGGCTTAGGGTTCAGGGTGTCGAGTGCCTGTGAGAGAGAGAGAGAGAGAGAGAGAGCCCTAAGCCCGAAAACCCCAATCCGGTTTCAAAGCCGGGTTCTGGGGCTTGAGGGTTTTGGGTTGGGATGTTCTCCCTTATTCTAAGAGTTTTTCATAGGGAATGATTATAATAGGGGGTACTATAGTCCCTACTATGGACTGTTAGTATAAGGGGGAACATCCCAAACCCTAAGCCCTAAACCCTACACCCTAAGTACTCCTAGGGGGACTATAATCCCTACTAGGGACTGTTAGAAAAAGGGGGAACATCCGAAGTGTTGGGGCTTCAAGCTACAGTTTGTTTAAGAACCCCCCAAAAATCATTAATATTCTTCCTTTAAGGGCAATAAGGGGATTATTCTTTTTTCGGGGGTTCTTAAGCAAATGGTAGTAAGGGCTCTTGGCTTTCAGTGCCCTCGTGCAGAAATTTTCGGGTCTTGGCTCCGGTTCTCTGAACTAGGCTGCTGATGCGTTCTGCTTGTCCGGAAATGCTGTTTCATTTTGATTTATTTGCTTAGTTGGTTGTATTTCATAAGGAGCCACCGAAATGACAACAATGTAGGTTTGTCATGGGATTCAGGGAGCAGTTGAGGTGAGAAGCAGAACGCGGTTGCACTTGGGAACCCTGCAAAGCACTACACCTCGCCCCCCAGGAGAGGCTTCTGAGCCCGCCCCTACACTTATAGGGTTCTTTAGGGAGGGGTGCTTCAAGGGTGGTTGTAAGCCAGGGTTCCCTAATACTCCCAACTCCCTACCATGATCCCCCGTCCCTTATATAATGCGGTTTAGGGTTTAGGGTTTAGGGTTTAGGGTTTAGGGTTTAGGGTTTAGGGTTTAGGGTTTAGGGTTTAGGGCCTCAAAGCCCCTCTTCATCTAAGGGTAATGGTGTGGTTCCCTATGGGTTGGAAAAGGGTACGAACATGTGAACCCATTTTGTGTTCTCAAATTAGCCCATACTAAGGGCATGTATCTACCCTAAGATGTCACGAGCCAACCCTAACTCCTAAACCCTAACTCCTAAAGCTCTTCAAAGCCCCTCTTCACGAACCTCCCGTGAAGTCAGGTCACCTACGGCACCGTGGGGCGGGATCGTTCCTCCAGCTCCGGGCTTGGATCATGTGTCAGGTCCTGGCATTGAGAGTTGTTAGGGTTTTTACGGTTTTAGGGTTTTAGGGTTTTGGGGTTTTAGGGTTTTAGGGTTTAGGGTTTTTAGGGTTTTTAGGGTTTTTAGGGTTTTAGGGTTTAGGGTAGCCCTTCGACCCTAAACCCTTAAGCCCTAAATCCTTAGAAACCCGAAAGCACCTTGACCCTGATCTTGAAAGGGGTGGCGAAAAAGAAGAACCTTCACACCCTTAGCCTTAGCCCCTAAAGCCCTTCAACCCTAAGCCCTCAAACCCTTCAGCCCTAAACCCCCCTCCCAAACCCTAAAATTCTAAAACCCTAAAATTCCTAAAACCCTAAAACCCTAAAACCCTAAAATCCTAAAACCCTAAAACCCTAAAACCCTAAAACCCTAAAACCCTAAAACCCTAAAACCCTAAAATCCTAAAACCCTAAAACCCTAAAACCCTAAAACCCTAAAATCCTAAAATCCCTAAAACCCTAAAACCCTAAGCCAACCCTTCAGTCCTAAAGCTTGGCTACATGCTGAGGCCCAGATGCACGGATCTCCAGCCCTTGCATGTCGCCAGCTCGGCCGGGGTCACTCTGGGCTCACAAGGAAGGCTAGGGTTTAGGGTGTAGGGTTTAGGGTTTAGAGGTTAGGGTATAGGGTTTAGGGTTTAGGGTTTAGGCAAAACGGGTTTGGAGCTCGTTTTTGGTGTTTCGTGCCATGTTTGTATGGGGCTTTTGGGTGTTTTTTCCGGTGCTTTCGGACATTTCTTGGCATGCTCGCCTCGTGGATTGCTGTCAGCGGTTTGTTGCCGGCGCTTGGAGGCTAGAATGCTGCAGTTTAGGGTTTAGGGTTTAGGGTTTGGGGTTCAGGGTTCAGGGTTCAGGGATGTGTGTTGCGGGTGCTCTGCATAAGATCCATGTCCAGTCCCTAGACTCCAAGCCCTAAACGCTGCAGGGTTGGGCCGTGCGAGTATGGAGTTTCAGAAATTCGGGGTGCCTTATTGGGGTCCTCATTATAAGGGAATCTTCATATGGGGATCTATAGTGGGGGTCCCCTATTTTCGTAAACCCCCACATGCAAATCGGTGACAGGGTTTTTGTTCGGGGTAGCCCCGGAGGGCAGCTTGAGGGTTCAGTAGAACTGCCAGCAAGGTTACAAGGTGGCTTCCGAAGCATCCTATTTATTGACTTCTGCACTTCTACCGTATACAGTATACCCATGAGCTATGTAGGGTTAACCCTAAACCCGTAACCCTAAACCTACTGTAGAAAGACGGGCGGGTGGCCACGTGTCAAGAGCTTTGGCTTATGGGTTTGGGAGGGATGTCCCCCCCGAGTGTGCTCATTTATGCATGAGCCCAACAGCTTGCTGAAAAGAGTAGGCTAGGGTGTGGGCGAATTATGGCTATACTTCAGGCTTCTAGGTAGGCCCCTGAGATAGTTGTTTTTTTGTTCCCCCTTGTTGGGTTTATTGGGTTTCAGGGGATCATATTCAGGAATTAAATACTTTTTCAAAGGGTTTTAAGGGCCGTCCGAGGTTTTGGTGAAGTTGCTTACCACCGAAGGTTTCTTTTGAAATTCAGGTTTAGATGTGGAAAATAGGTGTCAACATCAAGGAGCTTCAGTCGGGGGTTGACTATCTCACGGCTTGGGGTTTAGGGTTTAGGGTTGAGGGTTTAGGGTTTATCTGTTGCTCTCCGCCCCGTCCTTGGCGTTGCAGACAGACCTTTTGCCGGCTGCCCGTTGCCCGCGAACGCGCCAGCTGTTTGCACCAGCTGTGTTTCACATTCGAAGTGTCTGACGGAAAGCCGCTAGAGCACAGGTGGGCGGAGAAAAGCTTTGGCCCCCTAGACCCTGAACGCTACTTGAAGGTTCATGGGGAGGGCTAAATAAGGTTAGAACCCCGAACACTACTTGAAGGTTCATGGGTAGGCCTAAATAAGGTTAGAACCAGTCATAAGCAAGATTGCCCGATTTTTAACCCCCCTGAGACCTACCCATGAACCTCCCAGATTGACTGTTTGCGGTTTGGGCTTCTCCTGACCTGGATATGCTGGATATGGAGCGTGACCGGCTGGCACAAGCTGGTAACTCCAAAACCCTAAACCCTAAACCTGAAAACAAAAAAGGTTCAGAATGGCACTTTGGGCATAAAGCCACCCTTGTACCATGACAAACTGCGATGGGGCGCCGATGCCGCTGACGTCCGATGCGCTGCCGGGCGCAGATGAGCTGGCCACTCGTCTTGTAAGCCTAAAACCCCAAAGCACAGGTTGATGTGGGTCAGAGAAACCCCGATCCTGAAGCGTCATGCGTTTAGATGGCCTGATCGGGTTGAAATACTTGATTCATGAGATTCAGTGTGGACTCATAAACACCCTCAATTCGGAAGTTTCCCCTGAAAGTAACAGTCCACATAGGGGTTCTTATAGGGGCTACTATAATAATCCCTCTTAAGGACTGTCAGCATAACCCTAAACCCTAAACCCTAAACCCTAAACCGGCAACATCCCAAGCCTTAAACCCTAAACCCCAGGGGACACAGTCTAGGTTATGGATTGTAAAACTTTGTGCGCGTGTGCCGCGTGTGTAAAGGCATGGAGTCATGGACCCTACTTTGGCTCATCGTGTTCGGGTTTAGGGTTTAGGGTTTAGGGTTTTAGGGTTTAGGGTTTAGGGTTTAGGGTTCAGGGTTTAGGGTTTAGGGTTTAGGGTTTAGGGTTCAGGGTTCAGGGTTCAGGGGTTAGGGTTTAGGGTTTAGGGGTTTAGGCTTAGGGGGTCACACGTTGATATCTGACCGTGTGGTGGCGGGCCTGTACGTTTTAGGGCATACACGGAAAGCGCTGTAAATTACAGGACTTCGTGCGTGTGGCTGTGGAAATTGAGGGATTCGTGCTTTAGGAAATCCAGGAACTCAAACTTAGGGCACTCATTTTAGCACACCTTCCCCAAGCGATCCAGGATGTTCGCTTGGGGACCAATTGCCAGCGCCAGACCCAGCTGTAGTTGTGTTCGATGAGACGCACATTGTATAAAAGAGGCAAAAATGCCGCAAATAGCAGGGTTTTGGTCATGTTCGCAAAATGGCATGAACGCTTATGACAGTGCCTTGTGTGGCTGAACATCAAACATCCTCCGGCAACATGTTGTACAAAGAGGCAAAAGCGCCGCAAATAGCAGGGTTTTGGGCATGTTCGCAAAACGGCATGAACACGTGTGACAGCGCCCGTTTTGCTGAACATCAAACATCCTCCAGCAACATGTTGCACAAAGAGGCAAAAACGCCGTAAATAGCAGGGTTTGGGGATGGTTAGAGTCAAATGGTCGTAACCAATCCCCCCCCCCTCCCCCCTCCCCCCTCCCCGCCCCTCAACAGAAGAACACTCTCTCCAGACCGGAAATTTCAAGAAAACCACACGGGCAAATAGCAACGTGTCAGGGCTTAGGGGTGGTCCGTAAGTGGACTTTGTTGTCTTGGGTCGCTTCTGTGGGTCAGAAGGCCTGCCCAGTCTTAGCTGCTTGGGGGTACGTAAGGTGTAGGGTTTAGGGTTTAGGGTTTAGTGTGTAGGGTTTAGGGTTTAGGGTTTAGGCTTTCGGGGCGCTCTCTTTGTTTCTGTATGTTGCTTCTTTTGTTCTGGGAAGTTCAGATGATCGTTTAGACTCCGCGCGTCTTGAGGACGCAAGCGATTCTTGATGCCGCTAATGAGTTACAGCAGCGTGGGAGGAGCTCATCGAGCGCTTGCGCGAGCGCTTCGCCACGGTCTTCGCCGAACGGGAGAAGAGAGGCAGCCTAGAAGAGCTCCGTCAACATCAAGCCCTAAACCCTAAACCGCGCAAGCTTGTTTGCATGATTGATCAAGTGCCCCGGGTGCCCGGATGTGTCTCATCACACGTAGTGCTGTGCAGAGGAACCCTACAGGCAGTGGTGAAAGTCGTACCCATTTTTTGTGTATGCTATCAATCACTCAGGGAAAGCTTTCTGAAAAGTCGTGCCCACTTCCCTAAACGCCTAGGAAGTGCAAGGTTTTTCATGCGAACCGATTCATTGCTGGTTTAACATCTTGGAAACATCCAAACGCCATGCAAGTGCAGTGTTTGGGCGTTGTCACTGAGGACGTAGTTTGAAGCATATCTTTGTTGCGCTTACATGGTGAACTGTTTCGCCCTTGGCACAGCAACTTGTTTGAATCCTTCATGCCACATCGATTTTGATCGGCATGTGGCTTCAAATCGAACCCGAGGGTATCGTTCAACCCCATTTACACATCTAGGACAGGGTATCGTTCAACCAGACGCAAAATATGTTTGCTCGGGCTTTTTTCAGGGGGGTCACAGGCGGGGGTCCAAGATCCATGAGGTACCCTTTCAACAAACCTCCTGACCCCCTTAAAACCCTCACCCCCTCAACAACATCCTAAACCTCTTCAAGCCTCCCTAGAACTCCCCAAAACGTTTTTTTCATTGGCGTGAAGGCCTCGTCGAGCAGGCCCCAAACTTCGAAGCTCAATATATACATCTTTGGCGTAAGCGCTTACTTGGGGGAAGGGGCCTCGGGCATGACTTGTTGTGACTTCTGGAATCAAGCGCTTACTTGGGGAAAGGCCTCCCGGGCATGACCAAGGCATGACTTAGTCAGGTCCCTGTAACACCCCAACGCCTTAACACCTTAAACCCGGAACCCTCCCACACTACCCCCACCCCAACGACACCCAACCCAACAAGAAACCCAAATGAGGCTCCTCCATCGCTGTCTTGGCTTTCTGCTGGGTAGGGTACCTGGGACCCTGGTTGCCTACAGTTTAGTAGGGACTACCCCTTAACTAGCAGGTAACCTTCTAACCCTAAACTCTAAACCCTAAACCCTAAACCCTCCACCCCCTAAACCCTAAACCCTAAACCCCAAACCCCAAACCCTAAACCCTAAACCCTAAACCCTTTTGAAGGTTTAGAGCCCTAAACCCCAAACCCGCAGCCCCTGGCAGGGCAGCTCTATCCGGCACTCTTCGGAAACCTGGCCCTTACGCGCATCCTCCGGCAGACGCTGGGACCGTAGAGTTTCAGGGTCCCTAACCCTAAACCCTAAACCCTAAACCCTAAACCCTAAACCCTAAACCCTCAGCAGCATTCGGGTTTGGCCGCGGTCATGTCGGGGTACTGGTCTGGGGTTTCAATGGCTCCTGTTTGTTTTCCTCGCCGCCTCTGTTTAGAGTTTAGGATTTAGGGTTGAGGGCTTTTGCTGCAGTCCCTTGCAGTCCCTCCTCAAAGAAGGGCTTTCCGTACATCATTGTTTCATGCGGCTTTTGAGCTCACGAGATGTGCAAATGAGAAACCCTAAACCCTACACCTGGTTCCGCCGTTTAGGGGCTTGAGGGTTAGCGGGATTATCCTCCAATGTGGAGTTTGGGGTAACCCTGAACCCCACTGTAGACCCTACACCCTGAAGCAAACTATATCAACACCACCCGCACCTCCCCCAAGCTCGAGTGAGAAGGATCCATGTACCTGAGTTGCTGGGTAGCCCAGTGGTAGCGTTTTGCACTGTTTTTGGTTCTCGATTCCCTTGTACAGGAACCAGCCCCCCCCCCCCCCAAAAAAGGGGAATATAGTATTTGTTTTTTGGTGGGGGGGGTAACACAGCGTAATTGTATAATTATTATAAGGTCCATAAGAGAACACCATTAGTAATTGTTCCGACCCTTGTATTGCTCTCATTATGGTATGGTTCCTAGGCTACCAAGGTTGTATATGCTTGGCCCTCCGAAAAAAGTCATGATATATGAGAGCATGTTAAACACAAAAGCGGTTCATGGTACTTAATGATCCAGTTATACCTGTACTTATAACCCAATTATAATTGGGGCCCTTAAGGAGCTTATAATTGGGTTATAAGTAGAGGTAGAATTGGGTTATTACGTACCATGAAACTCCAAGTAGACCCCTGTTTAGGTACATGGATCTTTGGGTTTATTCGCCTGCCCAGGAACAAAGCCGATTTCGAGGCCACTTTTGTTTTGTCTTTCCATTTGTTTTTGTCCGCCTTTGTTAGTTTTTTTTTGGGGGGGGGAGGCTTTAGGGTGTAAGGTTTAGGCAGTTTAGGGCCTTGGGGTTGTTTTTACGCAGCCCACTCGGAATGCTTTCGGACGTTCGGTAGGGGGCTATATTCGCAACAAAGTGTATATAGGTCTGTTTGGGCCAGGAACTGAGCCCTAAACCCTAAACCCTAAACCCTACAAGTCTGGACCGATGCAACAACCCTAACCAGCGTGCGAGTGCGAGAACCAAAGCCCCAAACACAGAGGACCCAAAGCAAGTCATCATTTGGGATGTTCTCCCCTATACGAGCAGTCCTTAATAGGGATTCTAACTAGGGTTTAGGGCCTAGGGTTTAGGGTTTGTTCATGGCACTGATAACTCAGTTTATGACTGTGCTTGTAACCCATTGTATGAGCCCCTGAAGTGCCCTAATATGGTTAAAAATTGGGTTATAAGTACAGTTTATGACTGTACTTATAACCTTAAGTGCTCTAATATGGTTGTAATTGGGTTATAAGTACAGTTCTAATTGAGTTAACCTCCAAGCATAGAACAAACAAAAAAACGACGCAGCGGTGGGTGAGCTCGGCTTTCACCCTGAACCCCAAAAGCAGGTTCAAAGTGCTGGGCTGAGTGCTTCACCGCCCTAAACCAGAAGTGTACTAAACCCTAAACCCTAAACCCTAAACCCTAAATCCTAAATCCTAAACCCTAAACCCTAAACCCTAAACCCTAAACCCTAACCCTAAACCCCAAACCCCAAACCCTTAACTCTAAAACCTAAACCCTAAACCCTAAACCCTAAACCCTAAACCCGAACCATCAAACGACACGCGGCAGGCCTCCGTCCTGTGGGTCGAGAAGTTCCTCGACATTTTCGCGGAGCTTCATGGTGATGATGCAGCTTGTGCTGAAGGTTTAGGGCTGAGGGTTTAGGGTTTAGAGTTCAGGGAAGCACCCTACCCAAGTAAGATGCGGTTTAGGGTTTAGGATTTAGGGTTTAGGGCTGCGCGGCTTCGGAGTCATCAGGGTCTCGGCTGTTTTAGGCCGCGTGGTCGGACAGGCTCGGAAGCCCTTGGGGTTTTCGCCAAACACACGAGGTTCGAGGCCTAAACCCCTAACCCTGAACCCTAAACCCTAAACCCTAAACAATAAACCCTAAACCCTAAACCCTAAACCCTAAACCCTAAACCTAAACCATGCTTCGAAAAGGATTTAGGAGTTGGGGTTTCGGGTGCACCCACACATCCCGGGCCCAAACTGTTTGGATCCCGGGAGGCGTCGGGTGTATGCCCCCAGCCCTAGCTACTTACGCAACCTCCAAGAAAGCTCCTTCCTAACCGTCTAAACCCTTCCAGGGGGTTTGGGGTTTAGGGTTTAGGGTTTAGGGCGTGCAGCAGTCCTAGCCGCAAAAAATGGGGCTCAGGGTTTAGGGTTTAGGGTTCCTTAGGAAGCCCCCCCTCCCCCCCCCACCCCGCCCAAACCCCTCCAGTTTGCACGGGCTTAACGAAGTAAGGGTCCTTGCTTTAGTCACTAAACCCTAAACCCTAAACCCTAAACCCTAAACCCTAAACCCTAAACAGGTCATGCCGGACCTGATCGCAAGGCTGGATGCGATCCAAAGAGAGGGCCGACTGGCCCCTCGACCTCATCCGCAGGTTTAGGGTTTAGGGTTTAGGGTTTAGGGTTTAGAGTTCAGGGTTCAGGGTTCAGGGTTTAGGGTTTAGGGTTTAGGGTTTAGGGTCCCTTTTTGGACCTCCTGAGCTGCTTACAAGGGGGTCCTGGGTAGAAAGCAACTCTCAGCGGGCTTTGTCGAAAAAATGGCCGGCGTAGGTTCTTGCGTTGGGTTAAGAGCATCTTTTGCAGAAGCGAAAAAACTCCTAAAATCCTGTAAACCCCAAACCAAACCGAAGAACAACCCCAAGGCATCTCGAGCCGACCGAAGCCTTACCTGCCATGCGCGAGTGTGAGAGTCGAAACGACCCAGGGGTTTAGGGTTTAGGGTTTAGGGTTTAGGGTTTAGGGTTTAGGGTTTAGGGTTTAGGGTTTAGGGGCATCTCAAGGTCACCACCGACGACCTTCCGGGCCATAACGAGATCAAGAGCTTCCGGGCTTGACGATAGGGGCTTACGGGCCCTACCGGGGTTTAGGGTTTAGGGTTTAGGGTTTAGGGTTTAATGTTGACTTCGCATTAATAAACCCCCCCCCCCTCATTGATCAATCTCTCCGGCCAGGGCCTCCTCAATACTGTTCGCCTAAATCCTGGTAGGACGTAGTATTAGCTTTAGTATTAGGTAGTAGCACCACGCCCGTAAAAACCGGATTTCCCGGGTCGGATTTTACAATTGTGGCGGGCTACACTATTGTGTTCCGGCAGCGGGGTTTTACAACTGCGGGTGGATCCACTAATGTGAAGTCAACATTAGGAGAGGCTTGGAGGTTGAGGATCCTACTCGGAGGTTCATGGGTAGTTATAGGTAGGGCAACTGTACTTTTAAGTGGTAAGAGCCGGGGTACTTTTTTTACCCTACTTGTAGCTATACCCAGGTTTAGGGTTTAGGGTTTAGGGTTTAGGGTTTAGGGTTTAGGGTTTAGGGTTTAGGGTTTAGGGTTTAGGGTGGTATACCCATGAACCTCCAAGTATGTAGGTCAAAGGGTCTAGGCTTACCGGCTCAGTTGATGGCAGAATTGCTGGCTTTGGGCTGAGGCTTGTGGGGGTTCAAGGTAACCCCTGAACCCTACACCCATTTCTAGGCTACTTGGGAAGCTGACGTGCCTAAATCCCATAACCCCTGAACAAAAAGAACGGAGTCTAGGGGTTTTGTGGTTTGCAGAGGGTCGTCTCAACCACGTTGTCTCAACCACGTAACTTGAAACCCCCCAAGCACGCTAACAGAAACCCATGGGATTGAGGGGGTAATTTGCGCGCTTCAGGGTTTGTGGAGGCTCTTCGAAAATCAGGTTGGAGGGATGCCGGGGTTGAGGGGTCTCGGGGTCTTCGAGGCGAATGGGCGATGGATGACTCTCAAAATGCCATAGTTTCGACTCTTCCCCTGTACGTTGGGAATGGATGAGTAATCTGGGCCCTAAACCCTAAACCCTAAACCCTAAACCCTAAACCGGCGCGACACTTGCAGATTACTCCTCCCTCATATACAACGCCGAGCAGTTGACAAAGCACCTTGCCTGCAGGGAGAGGGCCAAGGGCCCTATGTTGCAAAGCCATAGCAGTGTTTAGGATTTAGGGTTTAGGGTTTAGGGTTTCCGGTAGCTGAGCAAGGCCTTAAAAGCCTTAAGACACGCTCGTCACGAGAGTCGTGGAGAGGATCCTAGAGCTCGGTTCCTTCTTCCGGCGTTCATGGCCATCGTTTTGCGTGTTGGCTTCCAGGTTTAGGGTTTAGGGTTTAGGGTTTAAGGTTCTGGGCGGCCAAATGTTCTTGGGCTTTGTAGGCTCGAAGGAGCTGAGAAATCTAACCCCAAGCCCCGAGACCCTAATTAAGCCACAAGCCAAAAACGATAAACCCTAAAACTCATAAACCCCAAACCTAAACCCCAAGCTCCAAACCCTAAACCCCAAACCCTAAACCCTAAACCTTAAACCCTAAAGTCAACAGACACACTGAAAAGGACGGGCGACCCACTGAGCTACTTCCCACTCGGCGCCCTGACACGGACTTTAAGCCTCAAACCCTAAATGGGCCGAACTTAAGGGGGTTTAGGGTTTAGGGTTTAGGGTTTCGGGTACAGGGAAAAGGGTTTCGGGTTTCGGGCTTAGGGCTTAGGGCTTATGGGGTTTAGGGTTTAGGGTACTTGCCCTGGACCCCTTCAACTTGAGAGTGCTTCAGTGCTGAGAAGGGAGGTTTCGTAGACTCGGGTGTTTAGGGTTTAGGGTTTAGGGTTTAGGGTTTAGGGTGTCAAACACTAAATTGGGGCCAAACTAAGAAGCTTAAGGGGATTTAGGGAAATGTAGGGTTGAGGGTTTATGTGGTTTAGGGTACCCTAAACCCTCCAAACCCTAACTAATCCCTCAAATGCCAGAGACAGTGCGCAGTAGACCCTAAACCCTGAATTGGAGCCAAGCATTGGTGTTTAGGGTTGAGGGCTGGTGGGATGTCTGACAGGGGGTTTGGGGTTTTTGGTTCTGGAAAAAGGGGCCCATTATGGTAGGGATGATCGGTTTTTGGGCGTTTTTAGGGCCCATCATGGGAAACACCCAGAACGTCACCCGCAGGGTCCATTTTTACAGTACTGCTGTGCAATAGGCACCAAAAACCATTCCAAATGGGTTAAGGGGTTCAGGGTTTAGGGTTTAGGTACGGCTGCCGAATTCCAGGACAGCACGCACGAACCATAAGTAGGCGCCCGGCGTAACCTGCAACTGCAACCAACCCCTACTTGAAAGACCCGGTGCGCCTGCACCCTCAACCCTTGAAATCTTTTGGATACCCTAAGCCTTCTTAAGACATCCCAGAACCCTAAAGCCTAAACCCTAAACCCCACGAAACCCCAAATGTCAAAGCCATGTTCCGTCCTCGCCCTCCTCCTCCTCCTCCTCCTCCTCCTCCTCCAAACTTTTAAGGCTTTAAGGCCTAAACCCTAAGCCCTAGGCCCAGTAGAAACAGCAGATGCCCATCAAGTCTGTATTGGGTCAGTAAGAACTTTGAGGGCTGAGTCTTTAGGATTCTCTTGTTCGTCGAGTTTGAGCCCACTCTCCAAGGCTTCCACCCTGAGTGAGCCCCTTCCCCCTTTCTTTCTGAGAGTCTTCAGCGAACAACATCTGAGCCACTCTTCCCCAGACCCAAACCCTAAACCCTAAACCCTAAACCGCTTCTCGACGCTCGAACCAGAATTTGTCGCCTGCATTTCGCCAGCGTGAAAGTCGAAACCCTAAACCCGAAACCCTCGCAACCCCCCCTCCCCCCACCCCCCCCGCTCCTCCCCGTTCTAAATCCCTAAACCCTAAACCCTAAACCCTAAACCCTAAACCCAAGAGCGAGGTGAGCTCAACAAGCATCAGCTCATCGCTCGTGGCCTTTTTGAGAGCCCCCTGGCTGTTTTCGAGGAGAGTTCAAGACCTTAGGGTTTAGTGTTTAGGGTTTGGTAGGCTAGGGCCCAGAGTAGGCCCTTATTCCCTTTTCTCAGGGTTTAGGTTCCCAAGGTTTCAAAATCTACCATAATAGGTGAACCTTTTCTGGCCCAGGGTACTCAGCAACTAGGTAAAGCCCCAGCAAAAGCCCTAAGCCTAAATCCCAGACCCCACATTCCTAACCCCAAAGGCCTAAGCCCTGAAGTCAGTGTGAGCTTCGAAAAAGCCTCTGAACCCTAAAGCCCTAAACCTTGAAGTCCTGCAGCCGTAAACCCAAAACCCTCCTAAGCCCTAAACCTCTAAATAGTTCTAAGCCCCAAAGCCCGAAAAAGTCGAACCCATCTAAGCCCTAAAACCCGAAACCCTCCTAAGTCCTATACATATTAATATATATATATATATATAGACTCAACCGGTCTTAGGGTTTAGGGTTTAGGGTTGTGCGAGTGTGAGCATCGAAACCACAGCCCTTTGTCCCAGAGTTGGCCCCCTTTTCCTTTTTGGGCGAATCAAGGTTCCTCAAAAAGCTCCCTTGAATCCAAAAAGGGTGCTCTTGGGGCTATAGAAGCTCAGGCTATGAGCGTGTTGTGCTTCACGGCTGGCTTTTTCGAGCGATTGAGCTGGACACTGGGCAAGAACTAGGGCCCAGAAGGCCCTTCTTCCCCCTTTTTTCAGGCTTAAGTTCCCTTAGATAAGCCCCCCCCCCCCCCCCCCCCCCCCCCCCAATCCAAAAAGGGCGCCTTTGTTATTTCTAGGCTACGCTTGGGTCTAGAGAACCATGTTCATTTTTTTATTGCTAAGGGCATCGGGGCTTACTTTGAGGGCCTTAGGGTTTAAATAGCAACTAGTGCTTTAGGCTTTTGAGGTGGGCTCTTGGGTTTCGGTGCTTTGGGCTTTGGGCGTCCTGAATCGTTGAGTGGAGAGGTAGATTGCTGCGGCAAAGCCCGCCGTTCTAACCCAGCAAAGAACTGAACGAGGCATCGGAATCTTTCTTAACCCCCTAAACCTTGAACCCTTTTGGGTTTAGGGTTTAGGGTCTAGGGTTTGGACTCCAAACCCTGAACCCTACGGGGTTCAGAAACATTCCCCTAAACCCTGACGCCCTAAACCCTGAATCCTAAATCCTCAACCTTAAACCCTAGCCCTAAACCCTCAACCCTATCGCCCTAAACCTAAACCCTCAATTTCGCGCCCTTGGGCCCCCGAGGACCGGATGAGCCGGGAGCAGGGCCGCCTTTGCCGGGCCTGGGGCCTGTGCTTCCTACTTGGGGAACCTCTAACCTTTTTTGGGGTTTAGGGTTTAGGGTGTAGGGTTTAGGGTTTGGGAACCTTTTAGCCTTGGTTGGTTATCTAAAATCTTACTCTCTTTCTCTATATATACATATCTACATATCTATATAGTAGGTTAAACCGTCTTTTGCTTAGGGTATTCAGCCTAAGTTTCATGTGTTTTAGGGTCCTAGGGCATTAGGGTTTCAGGGTCTTGGGGTTTAAGGGTTTTAGGTTTTTGGGCTTTAGGGCCTTCGGGCTTAGGGTTTTGGGGTTTTAGAGTTTGAGGGCTTTAGGGCTTTAGAGATTAGGGTCTAAAGGACCTTCGGAGTTTCCTTTCTAAGTTATCTTCATATATTGGTTCGAGATGGTCCTTATGTTCTGTAGATCGCTTGAAGGACCAACCAACCCAGTGATGTAACCATTCAATTACCTGCCAGGGCGGAATCTTCCAGTAGGGTAAGCCCTAAACCCTAAACCCTAAAACCCTAAAACCCTAAAACCCTAAAACCCTAAAACCCTAAAACCCCTAAACCTAAACCCTAAACCCTAAACCTCACACCGGACATCGTAACCCCCAAGCCTTGATCCCGCGAGGTCGTCAACATCATCGACGCCTCTGGCTGCACCCTTTCCAAGGCTCAGCCCGGGTTTAGGGTTTAGGGGTCAGGGTTCAGGGTTCAGGGTTCAGGGTTTAGGGTTTAGGGACAAAAACTTGTCCAACAACGAAGAAATATGTATATATCCATGCATACACACGATAGAAATCAGAGAGCAAATGCATGCATAGCGATACATAGAAAATGACAACCAGGATGGGCTATTCGGCCTTATAATCCCCATAATCAACCCTATCAAGGGACTTTTTAAGGGGTTATAGGGTCTAACAGCCCATCCTGGAAGAGTCCCTTGCCTGATGGCTGGCAGGGCGATCCGGCCACAATCAGAACCTTAAACCCTGAAACCTTCCCGGTCCAACCCCGAACTTGGCCCTAAACCCTAAACCCTGAAGGTTGGTGTTTAGGGGTTTCGGGTAGGGGTCCGGCAAACCTCTCCCTAGTTTGTGCATCCCCGCACAAAAAAAGCACACACACACACACACACACACAGACACAGACACAGACGCAGACACAGACACGCTCACACCTGGCCCACCCCCCCCCCCTCCCAAATTGGGACCTTCTCTCTCTCTCTCTACAAAATCAATGATCACAAAATCAAAAGTAACATTTTTTAAATAAAAAATGAAATGAATGAATGAATGAATGAATGAATGAATGAATGAATGAATGAATGAATGAATGAATGAATCAATATATATATATATTTATTTATTTATTTATACATATATATATATATATGTTTTCTGTGCTTGGTACTTTTTCTGGGGCCGTCATGACCTTCGACTGTTGCGTGTAGGAGTGTCCCTTGGGTTATTGCCAGCGGCCGACGTTTGGCTCAAAGCTCTTGCCGTAGTGACCCTACACCCCCATGGACCCAACCCCCAAGGCTTAGGCCCAACGACGCATATATGTTTCGGGATGTTCCCCCTTAAGCTAGCAGCCCTTAGTAGGGATTATAGTACCCCCTATTATTATTTTCATAATTTGCGGGAACGTCCCAACACATATTCCACAGTTTTAGGGTTGAGGGTCTGGGGGCTTAACATGAGCCCTTTGCAAGAACGTTCTGGGGCTCAGGGTCTTTTTCTGTTTGTTGGAGCCAGCTACGTGCTGAGTAACTTTAAAAGGTCACGCTGGCCAATTGTTGAACCCTTCCCCCCCCCCCCCCCCCAAGAGTCCCTAAACCCTGAACCCTAAACCCTAAACCCTAAGTTTGTGTAGAAGACCAGACACGGCTTGTCCTGCCGCGCCGCTGCCCTTCATGCCCATTGCGAGGACACTGTTTAGGGTTTAGGGTTTAGGGTCACATGCCTCCAAAAATCTTTAGCCCTAAACTCTCAAAGCGGGCTGAGACTCGTACCCCTAAATGTTCCCCTGAATATACTCCCAGTATTGCCCACAGTTTGCTTTAGAGGAGCTTCAAAAAGGGACCTAAACCCTGAACCCTAAACCCTGAACTCCCAAACCCAAGGCTACAACCTTAGGGGTCCAAGGTAAAGTCCCTAATTTTTGGGTTTAGGGTTCAGGGTTTAGGGCTTAGGGTGCTAAACCTTAAAAACATCCCTCGCCAAATCCTGTGCACTCGCCGTCAGTTGCTCGGATACCGGAGACCGCGCTGAGTGAACCCTACAAACCGCCCCACCAAACGAGACCCTAAACCCTAAACCCCCCAACAAAAAGGGACCCTCCAAGGCTTCCCCAGCTCCCTAGTGCCTGAAAGTCCGCGTGACGGCGGGAGGACCGAGACTGGCTTTCGAGCAAATGAGGGCACCCCGACTCGAAACTGTTTGGTGGTTTAGGGTTTCCTCTTTGTCAATCAGACCTTCGAATCACCGAGTTTCTGACGTAGAGACAGACCTTGAAACTTTGAGGAGAGAGCGACAGGAGCAAAAATTGATGTTGAGACAAGCGCGACGACAGGCCAGACAGAATGCTCAGCACGTGCCATTTCAATTCTAGTTTCTCGAGAGATTGCGGCATCACTACTCGCGCTATTGTGAGTGGTCTGCTGTTACCGGGCTGCTGCATCACGAGGCCTGTTGCAAAAAAGGGTTTAGGGTTTAGGGTTTAGGGTTTAGGGTCTCTTTTTTAATGAGGTTTCGGGGCTTTAGGGGGTTGAGGAGTGATGCAAAGGAGGGGTTGAGGGTTTAGGGGTGTAGCAGTCGAATTCTTGGTAGCCCAGTGGTACCCGTTACCCCTTTTTTGGGGGGGGGATTTATGAAGTAACCATAACCAACCCAAATAGGCTGCCCTTATTCTAGTATGGTTACTGGACTACCAAGAACGTACAAGCATTTGGGATTTTGGGTTTTGACTGTCCCCTCAATCCTAAAGAACTCTTGAAACTCCGGATTTGGAGTTTGGGATTTAGGGTTTAGGGGGTTTTAGGGTTTAGGGCTGGCTTTAGGGTTTCGGGTGGTTTTAGGGTTTGTGCGGACACTTTCCGTCACGCACCTCGGCCTCAGCACGGGTTCACAAAAGGGGTTTCAGGGGTCCTCCAAACTCCAAACCCTTCAAGTTGGGTTTAGTGTTTAGGGTTTAGGGTTTTAGGGTTTAGGGGTCGGGGATAGTTACGAATTGAATAAGCCCTTCTGGTTCCTACTTGTTTTTACTATAAAACCCCAAGGCCCTATTCTAGTTACAAACGCACCTAGACGACATCCTGTGCCCAGCATGGAAACCTACAAAACGAAGAAACCTTGAACCTGAAGCCCGCAAAAACCTAAGCCCCCAAGCCTCAACAGCCTAAACCCCTAAACCCCTAAACCTCTAAACCCCTAAACCCTTAAACCCCTAAACCCCTGAATCCCTAAACCCCTAAACCCCTAAACCCCTAAACCCCTAAACCCCTAAACCCCGAAACCCTAAACCCCCCGAAAGCCATGAAAGCCCACCTCCCTCGAAGAATTCGAAGATGGACCCCCGAGGCCCCGATCGCGGGCGGCGGACAAAGATCCGCAGCTCGGAGGCGCGCACATAGGGTTTAGGGTTAAGGGTTAAGGGTTTAGGGTTTGGGCTTCGGTTTGTTATTTGAAACGCCCTAAGCTTTTTAGAGCTGTTCTTTTGGGCTCTAGATTGTGCAATTTATGTGGGTCGCTTCCTAAATTTGGGTCCCTTTTTGGGCACCAATTTGTCAACTCTACACGCCGCCATTTCCCAACACAGAGGCTCGTCCCCAAGCCCTACACCTTTCTAACACCCTAAGCCCTAAACCCTAAACCCTAAACCCTAAACCCTAAACCCTAAACCCTAAACCCTAAACCCTAAACCCTAAACCCTAAACCCTAAACCCTAAACCCCAACACCTTTCGGTGACGAGATGCACGGCTTCCTCGGCAACGAGCATGCTCTCAGCATGCCGCGCCCCCTCCTCTGCGCCGGCCCGAGGCTCAGAGCCAAGGTTTAGGGTTTAGGGTTTGGGGTTTGGGGTTTAGGGTTTAGGGTTTAGGGTTTAGGGTTCAGGGTTCAGGGTTCAGGGTTCAGGGTTTAGGGCGTCTCGCCGCGCAGCGGCAGTAAGTGCCATGCGTAAATGGCGCCCCTACACACCCAGGGGTAGGGGGGCAGGAGGGGGCCAGGGGGGCAGGGCGGGAAGGGGGGCCAAGAAGGTTTGGCCAGGCCCGCCGCGTTTTTGGCTTGGGAAGGGGTACCCCCATGGCGGACCCTGGATTTCAGGATTTTTGGGTCAGGGTCCAGAGGGCCTCCAGAGGGGTTCCCTGTGTAAATATGGGCGCCAGGCGTTTTAGAAAAGGGTGGGTACGGCCTAAGCAGGCCGGGTGGGAGTTTAGGGTTTAGGGTTTAGGGTTAGAGCCGTCTTGGCGGCCGTCGGTCTTCGGCTCCCGTCAGGAGCGAATTTCTTCGAGCAAGGTTCAGGGTTTAGGGTTTGGGGAGTTTAGGGCTTATAGGGTTTAGGGTATCCCAGGATTCCTTAACACTCCCCACTACTCCCTAAGGCTCCCTAAGCTTCCCTATAAGGTTCCCAAAGGTTCCCTACAGTTCCCTAGGTACTTACCCCCCCGAACCCCCCCTTCCTTAAGAAACGGCTAAGGCGCTGCCAGCGCTAAATCCTCAAACGCCCTCAGAATTCCGAACCTGAGGGATGAGCAGCAACTGGCCAGCAGAAGCGACCCAACAAATCCCATCACCCCTTGTTATACGGTTTAGGGTTTAGGATTACATCTGTACACGCCCCCTAAACCCTAAACCCTAAACCCTAAACCCGTACGCCGGAGTCGTTTTTTTGAAAAAAAAAATGGCTGAAAACCTGTAGGGTGCTCTTCGAAGAGCCCACTCCGTTAGTCCCGCTGAATCGTAAACCCCAAAAAGTTTTGAAACCTTAAGCTAGGACACAGAGTAGGCCCTTATTCCCGTGATCTTGTGGTGGAGGTGGCCCTTATAAGCCCCTTGCAAACCTAGCTTGCTCTTGGGACTAGTAAAGCCGTAAACCCTACACTCTGAACCTTGAAAGTCCTAAACCCTAAGCCCTATGCCCTAAACCCTGGCGGGTCCACAACAGACCCGCGCAAAACTGTGGCCCCACCAGCAAACCTGACATGCAGGACTTAGGTCACAGCCTTTAGTGTTGAGAAATGACGCCTTTCTGCTCCCCAGGGCGCCTACAAGCAAGAACTTCCAGCCATTTCTGCCCAGAAGAAGGTTTTACCTTCTCGAAACGGATTAGACGATGTAGACCATGGACGTCATCATGCTTGAACCGTGGATGCTCTTCCCAGAACGGAGTAGACCATGGACGTCATCATGGTTGGGCCATGGCAGTGCAGAAAACATGTGGACCATGGACGTCATCATGCTTGGGCCATGGATGCTCTCTTCTCATCAGAACAGAGTAGACCATGGACGTCATCATGCTTGGGCCATGGATGATCTCTTCCCAGAACGGATTAGACTATGAACGTCATCATGGTTGGGCCATGGATGCTCTCTTCTAACTATGCTGAAGCAAACGTGTTTTTTAGACCCAGGGCTGGGCAGAAGCGGATGCAAACAAGACAGTGCTTA